CTATTCCAACCAAACGAGCAAATGAGCCAAGTAAGACATCAAAGCAAACGAAAAGACGAACAGAAGAAGAGACGAATAAAACGGCAACGGTGAAGTGGGGGAGAGGAAAATGAGAGGCAAATGGCAAATAATGTAATATGAGGGATAAGAGTTTGTGATGGGTACTTGGTATGTCTTGACTTGTGCGTAGATCTCCCCGACAACGGCGCCAGAAATCCTTCTTGCTACCTCTTGAGCACTACATTGGTTTTCCCTTGAAGAGGAAAGGGTGATGCAGGAAAGTAGCGTAAATATTTCCCTCAGTTTTTAAGAACCAAGGTATCAATCCAGTAGGAGACTACACGCAAGTCCCTCGTACCTACACAAACAAATAAGAACCTCGCAACCAACGCGATAAAGGGGTTGTCAATCCCTTCACGGTCACTTACGAGAGTGAGATCTGATAGAGATAATACGATAAATATTTTTGGTATTTTTATGATATAGATAGGAAAATAAATATTGCAAAGTAAAAATAGATTGGAAACTTATATGATAAAAGATAGACCCGGGGGCCATAGGTTTCACTAGTGGCTTCTCTCAAGATAGCATAAGTATTACGGTGGGTGAACAAATTACTGTCGAGCAATTGATAGAAAAGTGCATAATTATGAGAATATCTGGGCATGATCATGTATATAGGCATCACGTCCGCGACAAGTAGACCAAAACAATTCTGCATCTTCTACTATTACTCCACACATCGACCACTATCCAGCATGCATCTAGAGTATTAAGTTCATAAGAACAAAGTAATGCATTAGGCAAGATAACATGATGTAGAGGGATAAACTCAAGCAATATGATATAAACCCCATATTTTTATCCTCGATGGCAATAATACAATACGTGCCTTGCTGTCCCTGTTGTCACTGGGAAAGGACACCACAAGATTGAACCCAAAGCTAAGCACTTCTCCCATTGCAAGAAAGATCAATCTAGTAGGGCAAACCAAACTGATAATTCGAAGGGACTTGCAAAGATAACCAATCATACATAAAAGATTTCATAGAAGAATCAAATATTGTTCATAGATAAACTTGATCATAAACCCACAATTCATCGGATCTCGGCAAACACACCGCAAAAAGAATTACATCGAATAGATCTTCAAGAAGATCGAGGAGAACATTGTGTTGAGATCCAAAGAGAAAGAAGAAGCCATCTAGCTAATAACTATGGACCCGAAGGTCTGTGGTAAACTACTCACACATCATCGGAGAAGCTATGGTGTTGATGTAGAAGCCCTCCGTGATCGATTCCTCCTCCAACGAAGCTCCAGAAAAGGCCCCAAGATGGGATCTCTTGGGTACAGAAGGTTGCGGCGGTGGAAATAGGGTTTCATGGTGCTCTTGGATGTTTTCGGGGTATATGGATATATATAGGAGTAAGAAGTAGGTCGGTGGAGCTGCAAGGGGCCCACGAGGGTGGGGGGCGCGCCCAGGGAGGCAGGCGCGCCTCCCTACCTCGTGGTCACCTCGTTTCTTTCTCGACGTCTACTCCAAGTCCCCTGGATCACGTTTGTTCCAAAAATAACTCTCCTGAAGGTTTCATTCCGTTTGGATTCCATTTGATATTTCTTTTCTGCGAAACACTGAAATAAGCAAAAAACAGCATTTTGCACTGTGCCTTGGGTTAGTACTCCCTCCGGTCCTTTTTACTCAGCGCATAACTCCACACCCGGATACCAAGGAGGGCAGCGGTTTTGTTTTTTGGACTAATTTTCCCTTTGCTAGAGTAAAGCTGCAGGCATGCGGAGAGCAGGGCCGTAATAATTGTGCATGCGTGATTCGCTAGTCCTCCTCGGTTGCCTATCCCGTCTCCTGGTTTGTCCCCCCACTAGCGTACCAGTAGGAAGGAGAGGAGTTAATGCATGCATGGGATTGGTTGCATGAGAGGCGGGAGGAGGGATAGAATTGGAAAGCGCCGAGAGAAAAAGGGAATGCGCAGAGTAATACGGGAAAAATGAAAAAAAGTTAGACGCAAACTAAAATGGACCGGAGGGAGTAGGTTAGTCCCAAAAATAATATATAAGTGTATAATAAAGCCCATTAAATATCCAAAATAGATAATATAATAGCATGGAACAAACAAAAATTATAGATACATTGGAGACATATCAGGCAGCAAAAGTGACAACTATCCATTGCCAACTCCATCAAGACAGCCGGCATCAACACCGAGAAATAAGCGGATGACCAAGTGACCCAACAAAAAGAGCTTCCGAAGAAGTTTAGAAGGGGGTTCTGGGGAAAGAAGTGAGAAGAGGAGAAGGAGAAGCGAGAAGGGGCGGCAGGCAAGATGACGAAGAGGTTCGAGGACATTTGTGAGCAAGGATGAGGCATGTGTCAAGCGCTCCGACGTGAAGAAGGAAAAGAAGGCCGTGAGGTTTAGCATCTTGATGGCGGCGATTGAGAAGAAAATCAAGCCGAAGAAAAAAAGATCAAGCTCGAAGAGAGAAGGGTTAGGCTCACAGCCGCTTCGAAGGATACCAAGATGTTGGCCACGGGGATGAATGAGTTGGATGAAGTGCGCGTTGTCCGTGTCAAGATGTTGAAATACTTGGCGGTCGAGATGGAGCTGACTGGTGATGAGGAGACAACGGCAGAGTGAGCTAGGAGGTTTGGATAGCCGATTTGGCAGGGCAAGAATGTTTCTTTTTTGCATAGATCGTCGAATGAATACTTTTGAGATCAGACGCATGTAAAAAATAGGAACATCCGCCGCCTTTTGGTTGCAATCAAACACTATTAACATCACACTTTAATTTTTTCTCATATTGCTATGCATTTGAAATGGAATTTATGGGACTAGACGGACTTTTAGGAGATCAGGGAGAATGGCCGGCTCTCATAGGGGACGGCGTTGGAGATGCCTCGTTCGTGGCTGTCCTGTCGAGCCAAACGTGATTGTTTTGATCCAACGTTCACATTCCGCACAGACCTGCCCCACGCCACACCCGCACAGTTCAAACAGAGAAGACCAGGCCGGCCCCACACGTCACAAACCCACGGACTGCGGCACATAAATCCATCCCTAGGCCCGTACATACCCACCCCTACGCCGCCGCTGTGCAGGGCAGGGGGGCAGCAGAGAGCATATCTGGTGATACGACCCGTTTGGTGATACGATGCACCGGAACGGGTGATACGATGCACCGGTGTATTCTGGACCACTAGATCACATTCAGTGGGACAGGATGCATGCACTGATGCACATGAGTTGGCCAGCGCCCCCACCTTGAAATATGCAAAATACACCCTGTGTTATGTTCTTAATTGAACGTAAGGTCTTTTTCTATACTAGTCTACCAGCTGCACTTTCGTTGACCGTTCAGAAAACGCCTCAGTTTCAATGTGCAAACACACACACACACACACTCGAATCCAGAATTCCTCTCAAGTCTTGTTATTGTGCCATCTCCATAGTTTATTGCTATATTGATAAAGTTCAACAAAATAAATTATCTTATATTGATAAACACACACACAATAAATTATCTTATATTGTGACATCTCCATATTTTGTTGTTATATTGTCCGACAAAGTAACCAAAAAATTCAGTGTGTGGTTATCAATATAAGAGAATTTATTTTGTTGAACTTCATCGATAATTGAAAAATAGTACTTTAATAGATTATCATAATTGAAAGTAATATAAAAAATCAAAAAATACAAGAGAATTAGCATGAAAGTTGACAAACTTAACATACCAAACTAGTCAGTTATTGTTCATGGAGATTTTTTTTATCTTTTGTATTACATTCAATTATCAAAATCTATAAAACTACTATCTTTAATTTTTGGGGTTGGTCTTCACGAATTGCATGTCTATTGTAGTCCGTACAATATAAAAATACTAATGCAACTAGACAAACGATCTAAATATGTTATCTTTGCTTTCACTAAAGCTAATTGAGAGAACATGCGAACAACCATTTGCATTAGCTTCTATTTTTTGCAGGTAACATTTGCATTTATCTTGAAGAGGAGCGGAATCTATTTGAGTGAATATTTTGTTTGGATAAAATGCACCATCACACATAGAGGGGCGATTTGGCATCCGGGAGCATATGCTCCTGGTTTTAAAATGCGTTTTAAATGTATTTTGAAATGTCACAAAATTCGGATAAAATGTTTCGCATGCACATCTCGACATCCACGTTCTCGCAAAGTCATTTCGCGAAGAACCGACAACTTTTGTGTCCCGTGTGAAAACAGCAAAATTCAGTGTGTTTAAAAAGGGCTTTTCATGAGACATCTTTTTTTTACACAAGCCACAAAAATTGGCGGTTTTCCGCGAAACTTGGCACACACATGTAGAATATTGAGATGATGCTTCAAAAAAAATTCGTCGGAATTCTGTGACATCTTGAAAAGCTTTTTCCCGTGGCAGGATTATGCGGCCATGTGCCAATGTGGATTTCTCCATCTCACATATGTTGTTAAATAAATAGTGGATAAGTCTGAGGAAATCTAGACATTTTTATCTTTTGATTGCTTCAAGCCTCACACCCAGTTAAGAGTATATCAAGGGTGTTTTTTGAATATTTCCCGATGGAGGAGCTGCGCATCACATGCACATTCATCGTGTCCCTCCCAGCATGATCTAACGGTGCATGATAGAGTGGAGCACCGTATCACTTAAATGACCGTATCACCAGATACTTTGCCGGGGGCAGCACATCACATCACATCAGAGCAGCCAGACAATTCAAACCGCACCGGGGAGGGCTCCACGCTCCCTCACACCCACGCCGCGCTGCTTCCGGATTCGACTCGTTCCAATCCCCCACCGGTCCAAAATCGCACCCAGAAAGGCCTCGAATCCGAATCCACCCGTCGCGATTCAAACCAGGCCACCCCCCGCTTCTCTCTCCCCTCCCCTCCTCCCCCTGCTCGCGCAGCGCGGCGCCGCCGCCGCCGACTCCTCCTCGCCGGGGCCGCGGGAGCGGCGGGCGATGGAAACCCTAATGGTGGACCGCGTCCACAGCAGCCTCCGCCTCTTCATGAACCGCAACGCCGTCTTCCTCTGCGAGCGCCTCTGCGCCCAGTTCCCCGCCGAGGTACCGCCCCGCTCCCCCCTCCCCCCTTCCCCCCCATTCGGGCAGGTAGGCGTTAGATCGGGCGTTGTGCCGGTGTGCGGCTGCGGCCTCACTGCGGGTTTCGCCTGCGCGGTTCGGTTTAGCGTTTATTTTTGTACTCCCGAGGGCCGCGTGAGCTTGGGCGGTGGGATTCGGGCTAGGGTTTACCGAGTCTGAGCATGAACATCTTAATCTAGCTGTCTGGGAAAATTGTTTGAATTCGTTTGTAACTGGAGCAGCGCATATGATTTCTCAACAGTTAATGGAGAATTTATGCTGTCGTTTCGCATCCTGGAAGGGAACTGTTTCACAGTTCACTTAGCCGATTTTAGGGGTGAATAGATACAATAACGTGTTATGCTCTATGGTGAATTTTCCCTTGTGTAAATCTCTAGGTAGCAACTGTAGAATTTTTGAGCTATCTAGTAGCTTAGATCAGCTACTATTATATATGATCCATCTTTTCCTATTCTTTTAGTAACTGCAGCATGTGTGCTTGGTTATTTATTTGCATTTCCTGCAGTAGTTTTCAGGAACTCCAGTAGCCAGGTTTATGTAAATCAAATATTAGAGTTTCTGGTTTTTGGTCTTTATTGTGTATCGCATTAAAATTTTAGCAGTGATGAATCTGAAGCTAGTTGAGACATACACAATGGCCTGACATTAGCTGACTCTCTATTGCACGATCTAGAATATTTGCTAATGTGGAAGAGAGGGGAGTAGGAGAGAGAGAGAGGGTACAATGGACTCTTAGAGCCTGTTGGATTCTCTTCACTCTGCAACTCCCCTCCTGGAGTGGCACATAACGCTCTAACTACATGTGAGTTGGAAGTGCGGAGCAGAGTGGGCTGCAGTTTGATTTCGCGGAGCGTAGGAGCGCGGGCTGCATGCTCCCATCTCCACTTTGTAACAAAAAATGAGATGAACAGACAAAAGCAGATTCAACAATGCCAAAATTTGAGAGATAGCACCCTTTTTCTCAAGAGATATATACCAAAATCATTTTCTAAATCAGTTTGCAGGTGTATATTGTACTAAATGTGCTTGGCCTTTCTCCTGTGTACAGACCAATGTGCAGTTGCTAGCGACTTGCTACCTTCACAACAACCAGCCCTATGCTGCATACCACATTTTGAAAGGTAATACCATTTTTCTGTTTTAGTTGCCAAATTGTTTTTAGTGCTTTTGTGGTCAGCGTTTCCTATATGCTATGTAGGTAAGAAGCTGCCGGAGTCTCGATACTTGTTTGCTATATCATGCTTTCGAATGAACCTACTGCGGGAAGCTGAAGAAACTCTGTGTCCAGTCAATGAACCAAATGTTGAGGTATATAGCATGGTTGTGAACATGATGTGTTTCCCGTGCTTCTGAAAGTATCTCATGCAGTGATCGTAGATTTGTCATAAGTTTGCCCCAAAACTCGAGTTCCGTTCTGAACTAGGGGTACCATGAAACGTTACTGGTTCTAAGAAAGAGCATCTGTCCCTGCTGTCTCGTAATTTCCAGAACTGGAACTAGAAAAATGGATCTATTGTGTTTTTAACGATTTATGCACTAAGAATTTTAAAGCCTATAATCTAGTACTACCTCCGTTCCAAAATAATTGAATTTCTGGGTTTGTCCTAAAACTTGTTTAAGTCTGACTAAGTCTATAGAAAGATATATTAACATCTGGAACATCAAATTAGTCTCTTGAGATTCTTTATATGAAATATATTTTTGTACTATGTGTATTTGGTGTTGTGGATCTTAGCACATTTTTTTTACAGAGCTAGTCAACTTAAGCAAGGATGACTTAGGAAAAACCTAGAGCTTAACTTATTTTGGAATGGAGGGAGTACATTCCAAAAGTTACACTTGAAGAACATTAGACCCTTTTGATACTTATTATTGCCTGTTGAAGCAATTGTACCAACTATGCCATAAATGAAAATTAGTTGTGTAATGTTATATTGATCCCTTTTAGTTATTACAAATCGTGGATATGATAGATTCTGTACCAGATAAACATTGACAGTGTGTGATTAATACTATTACTTGACACTGCATGGGATGGTGCAAACTGCCCAGACATTCTTTTCCTTCTCTTATATTGGGGCATGCCATTTTTCTAAGATTGCTGGCGAACTATTTTATTCTACAGGGGTGAAGTAATGGCTAGTGAATAGAAAAAGCAGTCACATCTTTGCCTGCTTTATATTTTGGGCCACATTGTTAATTACGTTGTTTTACATCCTGTGTATAGGTTCCAAGTGGTGCGACAGGACATTACCTTCTTGGACTAATTTACAGGTCCGTTATTCATGGGAGAACTGAACTGTGTTCCGTGTGTTTTGATTTGTTAGACATGGTTCATTGTATATACCTCACCCCCCCTGTAGGTACACTGGCAGAGTGGCAGCTGCAGCCGAGCAATTCACACAAGCTTTGACTCTAGATCCTCTTTTGTGGGCGGCATATGAGGAATTGTGTATACTAGGTTGGTGCATTAGACATCCATAACTGGAATTTTATAATAGGTCTATTCTTCTGTTTGATTAGAAGTCCTCACAAGTCACAACGAAGTTTTTGTTTTTTTAGGTAAGTTTTCGTTTTGTTTGGGAGTTAAGAATGGAAAATACAATGCAGATTTTCCAAAGAACCTTCTGAAACATTGCATTGTCAGTGTCTGTCTTGCCTGTACCCTAACATTTGGAAATATGGGGAATCTTGTGTATCAGAACGTTTGAGTGTTGCTGCGATAAATTCTGCAAAAAAAAAGTTGCAGTGCATCCAACCATTCTCGATTAGCTTCATGTTATCAGTAAATAGATATTCTTTTTAATCATTATGCAGAATATTACCATTGCCACTGTACTCATTATATGCCTAGTGTGCTGCATGCATCCCTATCTCATCATCTCACATTTCACTTGTGATTTATACAATGGCTAAATATTCATTGGCCTCACCCTCTCTAAAAATATAATTTACACGTTATAAACATAGACTGAAAGTGTGTTACCATCTTGTAGGAGTTGCTGAAGATGCAAATGAATGTTTTACGGAAGCAACTGCCCTACGTCTCCAGCAGGAACAAACATCTACATCAAATCTGGAGAAGTCAAACTTTGTCAATGAAAATCGAGTTCTATCTCCCAATGTATCAGCAAGCCTTGTGGATATCAGCCCTAAGCACATAAAACAATTGCCTGCTAACAACGCAGCTGAAGTGCCTGGTTATCCTCATCTAAGAGCAACCGCATTGCATGTGCAGAACAGTGTACAATCTAATGTAGGACAGTTTGACAGTCCATCACCAACTGTAACACAGGTTAGTAGAACCTAACTGATTCTCTGCTCTCTAGGTTATCTGGCAATATAGAGTTGTACCAATGCTTATAATCAATGGTTACAGGAAGCATCAGCCTTAATGTCTTATGCTTCGCATTTGGTGACACTGGCAAAATGTCTTATGTTAAGCAGCCAAAAATTCTCCAGAATCTTCCTATTTGATCTATTCACAGCCTTTTCGGTTCATTTTCCATTGCAACATGTTATCATTCTGGTTAACAAAGCCCAAGAAATTAAATAGCTGTGAGGCTTAGCACATATTACTATTTTCATATCAGTTTAATAATTTTTCGGAGAAGAGATAATAGTGTAGTAAAGCTGTGTACTATAGACCCAAAGTGGTTGGACCCAAAGTCCTGTAAACAGCCTCTTACAGAAATGTAGGGAAAGGCTGTGTACTATAGACCCAAAGTGGTTGGACCCGAAGTCCTGTAAACAGCCTCTTACAGAAATGTAGGGAAAGGCTGTGTACTATAGACCCAAAGTGGTTGGACCCTTCGCTGGACCCTGCGCAAGCGGGAGCCACATGCACCAGGCTGCCCCTTTTTTTTTCTTTTTTTTAAACTGATAATAGTGTAACGTTATAACAACTTGGAATTAGTGTTTGGACACCTAGTTCCTTCATTTTTAAGATTTAGTTCGTAACCTGTCTGACTTGTCTCTGTGGCTGAGTTGTGTTTTACTTAATATCATTTGACAGACTTCTGGCATCGTTCCACCACCACTCTTTAGGAATCTCCATGCCTATCAGAATACAACAAGTGGTGATGCTCCGGCCAAACCAAAGGTTAATGCAGTGAACCAACCACCTAGAAGAAAATACTTGGATGAAGCAAGGCTGAAGAAGGTTGTTGTTTCATCAACTGAACCTGTTATCTGATTTTTATTTGTTCCTCTTGTCCTATATGTGGAACTGCTAGAGGTTTTTCTTACTGTGGGATATCAGATACACCTCTTTTTGCATTTTAATAAAAACACAGTAGGCCCCTCCCCGTCAACTCTTCTCTGAAAAGGATATGGTGCTGGAGTAAATGCACATTGGCTGATCATGCTTTATGACATGCTGCAATTTTCCAGTTGCCCAACTGGTGGTGCCTGCTTCAGTATTAATTGTGAACATTGTCTTCACCTCCTGGCTGTTCTAGCCTGTAAAATTCCAGTCATGGTCATCTATATGAAGATTCAGGATGCTGTATCCTTGCTGTGTAGTGTACCAGCAAGTAGCTAGTACCAGTGAATCCACAGTACGCTTGGTTGCAGCTGGGTTGCAAATTCCCTTACCTTTAAAGTACTACCCTGATGATGCTTGTCTACCTGCTAGATTTTTGCCTGAGTTTCTGTTTATCCGTTCTTTTCTTATCCTCTTCGCATTCCAGTATTGCTGTATAGTACGATAATAGCTGGTGGTATTAAGAACTGAAAAGATTGCTATAATCTAATATTTTCTGTTATGTTATCATTTTGTTGCTATGAGTTCCTCTATGGTGTAATACTCGGTGGATGTGAAACTGGTTAATCTGCACTACTGTGCATTGAAGATCTTTCCTCAGTAATATTTTTCTTTTCTCATTGCCGTCTGTTAGAATAACCCATGCAATCTAACGTAGGGTCATTTTTTGTTGTTGTTATGTAGCTTTCAGGTCTGGCTGTACACCCTCTTTTCTATTACTTCTGCTAATAGTCAGCACATTCTTTAATTTACATCTCATGCTTCATTTTTTTGCTTATGATGATATTAGACTTGAGGATTCTTTTCAGGTGACTGGAAGACTCTTTAATCCGAGTGGTGATTCAGTACCTCGAAGAAGTGCAAGACTATCTAGGGATACTCCAATAAATTCGAATTCCAATATATCTCAGTTTGGAGGAAATGGATCAGATCACTCGTCAGGTAAATTGCGAGTAAACTCGTCCACATCATCAAAATTGTGTTCGACAGCCATACGTTCTGTGCAAGTTAGGAAAGGAAAGCCACGGGCTACAGAAAATTTTGATGAAGGTGATTATCATTTCAATGTGGATGATCCATCTAGTTATGTAAACGTGGTTGACATGTTGTTATATATCTGTGCACTCTGGATCTATCTGCAGTTTTATCTACATGTTTCTGTTCTGCCTATGAGTTTAAATTAGTTATGTTAAGTCATTTTGCTATCCTGTTTCTTGTGCTCATATCTATATGATTCTTGCACTTCCATTTGAATATTGTTTTTATGACACCAATTTTAAAAATCCTTTAGGTTGCTGACAAATAGGGGAAGATTACTTACTGATTTTTGCTGGTTCATGGCATTAATCTGTGTGTTATGTTATCTCCTAATATCAGTTTATATCTCAAGCATTTATGGTACTACAATAACATTATCTGCTCTGTTTTTAAGCATACGCCTGTCCTTATATACATGCGGTTTTGTTTTTTTACATATTACATAACTTATAAACAGCAAGATTGTGTATTTCTTTTCTTTGGTATGACATTGTATTGTTTGATTTATGGAATGTATCCTTGAGAAGATATATATTTTCACTGGAAAGCGATGTAATTTTGGCTGCCAAATGATCTCTATATATTTTCTCGTTGAGTAAATGGCACCAAGGGTCCTTAAACCATTCCATGATGATTCTACTTCACTCGTACGTAGAAAACAAATCATCATGATTAAATATTGAAAGCAATTTCTCTCAGTGTAAACTTGTTTCAAGATCTGTGGAATTTGTCGCTGTGAAATGGCATATATTGTTTTATCTTTTACTGGATCGTACTGACTATTTCACCTTAGCTTTTGCTATAGCATATTACCGTTTTGTAGAATTATATATTTCCTAGTTCCTAGGAATAATCTCCATTGCATTGCGCTTTATGGATAAACGCAGCATGTTCCCTTCTCTGTCATCTTCACATGTAAGATGCAAATTATTTTTCTGAGTCTCAGGAAGCAGGTATGAAGCTGTTGATGAGATGTGGACAGATAATATAGCAGCAACTTCATCTTCTTTAAGTATAGCTGAAGGAAGGTACTTTGAGCAAGATAAAGCTGAGCGAACCCTGTCACAAGACTCCAAAATGGCGACTGGTATCAGGGAGCTATTGGGACTTTTGCGGACACTTGGGGAAGGCTATAGGCTATCTTGCTTGTTTAAGTGCCAGGTACATTAAAGATGTACAGGTTTCAACTACAGAAATACTAACCATCTACCCAACGTTGTAACCAATTCCATTCACTTAATGGTCAGGAAGCACTGGAAATCTACAGGAAACTCCCAGAGCCACAATTTAATACGGGATGGGTCTTATGCCAGGTACAATTTGTTTAGTATTGCAAGATGATTGGAGAATCCTTTGCATACTTTTGATTTATGTTATAAAAATATGGTTCCTATTGTATTTCATGCAATATTATATATAGGGTCTGCATAGAAATGAGTACTTCAGATGACAACTTTGTTTTCTTCCTCTGGTTTTCTTCGGAGTGACTTAAATCAACTGAGGACTTAATTTAGCATATTTGTTGGGAATATTATAGTTTATTTTGCTTGTTGGTATGTTGTCAAATGATGTTTCTAAAGTTGTAACTTGAGTGTTGACCCTGAAGAGTTATTATATGAGTGGGCATCCCTGACAATTTCATTTTACTATTGATGTTAGATATTTGACTTCCTCTTCAATAAACTATCAGTTTTATTTTATGGAAAACACGTTGATATTTTAATATTTTTATGATATATACAAAATGAATAATTTGCATACTTATTTCCGTTGGCATCATAAGCTTATTATCGTTTTGGTCAACTATGCAGGTTGGGAAGGCATATTTTGAATTGGTCGATTATTTAGAAGCTGATCATTTCTTTGAGTTAGCGCATCGATTATCACCGTGCACGTTGGAGGGAATGGACATATACTCTACTGTTCTTTATGTAAGCGAACTCACTGCCGTTACACTTGCTTACTTTTTAACCATATTTAGCTCCGAGCTCACATGCTTCTTTTGTAGCATTTGAATGAGGAAATGAGGCTAAGTTACCTTGCTCAGGAGCTTATTTCTGTTGATCGACTATCTCCTCAAGCATGGTATGTCGGTTGCCTCTCAGAAGTTAATAATCATGCTGGGCCATTTTTCCCCTGCAGTATGTTTTCTGTTACTTCCGTCCTTTTGCTTTTGCGGAAACTTCTCTCTCTCTCTCTGTCTCTCTCTCTCCATTTTGCAATGGTTCCTCCCTTTTGTTCGGACCTAGACACAGGGTTAAAAGAAATGAAAGTTGAGGATTATGAAAGCTATTTGTGGCCTCTCCAGTTTTTGATTGATGATGTTAAAAATTGATCTTTGTCTCAGCGCAGCGCTAGGCAATGGGACAAATCTAGTGTACAATTGCAAATCTTGCATAAATGTGACCATTTCTACTATATTTCTTTTGAATGCGAACAGGTGTGCAGTGGGAAATTGCTTTGCCTTGCGGAAAGATCATGAGACTGCTTTAAAGAACTTCCAGCGTGCTGTACAGCTTGACTCAAGAGTAGCATATGCTCACACTCTATGCGGTCACGAGTATGTGTTGCCTCCCATAATTATTGATCGTATATTTGTATTTGAGTAATTGCACTTACCTTTTCATGGACTTGTCACTTGGGGTCTGTGAACTTGAAGGTTGTAGTTGTGCATTTAGGTCCTTCAATTTCTATAGATGTACCAACACAGTTGCAACCGTACTTATCTAACTATGAATGATCATCTGGCATGTTGACCCTTTTAAATCCAAAGTTTGACCATGTGTTCTGACAGTTGTATAAGTCGTCCAGTGGCATATGGAAACGTCCTTCACATCCTAGATATCATGGTTGAATTGTGATTCGATGAGAGCCAAGATGCCATCCTATTTCTAATCACCAATACATCATGTTTTTAACATCTGTTGACGCACCTATCAATTTCCATTTTAGTTGCCGCACTTAATCTTTCTATTTCATCCACTATTAATGTTTGAGATCATTTGCCAATTTATTTTGATCCTACTGTCTTTCCTTTGAACTGCAGATATTCTGCATTGGAGGATTACGAGAACAGTGTTAAATTCTACCGATGTGCACTTCAGGTAGATGAAAGGCACTACAATGCCTGGTATGGGCTTGGAGTAGTTTACCTTCGCCAGGAAAAGTTTGAGTTTGCTGAGCATCATTTTAGAAGGGCATTTCAGATAAATCCCCGTTCTTCTGTTCTTATGTGCTATCTTGGGATGGCCTTACATGCTCTAAAGGTTTGACATTGTCAAAGACTGTGAAGTAGTTACTGGTTTGAAGTGTTGTTGTCTTCTGCCCAATTCGTAAATATGAACGTCTTTTTGATTTTGAACTTTGACAGAGAGATGAGGATGCATTGGAGATGATGGAGAAAGCCATATTTTCTGATAAGAAGAATCCACTTCCTAAGTATCAGAAGGCTTTAATTCTGGTAGGACTTCAAAAATATCAGGAGGCTCTGGATGAGTTGGAACGGCTAAGGGAGATTGCACCTCATGAGAGTAGTATGTATGCACTTATGGGCAAGATATACAAGCAACTCAATATTCTCGACAAGGCTGTATTTTGCTTTGGCGTTGCCCTTGATTTGAAACCTCCCGCTGCCGACCTTGCTATAATCAAGGTATGACACTATCATATTTTACTTATTACTGCAAGCTGCCCCATTTGCTGCCTTTTTGTTTCCTCACTACATTTTTTTTTGTTATACATAAGCCAACCTATGTTTTTCTTTTCCTAGAGTGGTCCCATAATAACTGCTAGTTAAATTGTTACACTTTCTTTTAATTTCTTCCCATTACTGTGCTGGTCTCATCAATTTGAATTACTTGTATTTGAATACTGTCTGATGTTTGGCAGTCTGCAATGGAGAAAGTACACCTTCCAGATGAACTGATGGAGGATGATGACCTGTAAGTTCACTTTAAAGCACAAACTGAGAAATGGACATTTATTCAGATCTATGAGTTTCTGCTTGTGCTTCGGAGTCATGGCCTGAATGTGCTTTCTGAGAGGAACTCAGAGGTTGAAGGAAGCAAGCACATCATGTGGAACCAGAATTTACAGCAACTATGGATTCTCTTGGGGCATTAGTGTACCATTAACCACCCAGTTTTGTAGCATTAGCTGTAACCTGTACACTGACAGCACAAACACAACATGTGTAGTAGTTTAGGTGTACAAGCTGAGTATTGGCAGCGAGGCCTGTATCATTGTACAATTGTACGAGTATCAAAAGAAATCGTCGAGAAATATGAAAACGATGCCGGGGCAAGATCATGCCGAATCAAACAGATTGTGAATTGTACAGTACCAGTATTCTTCTCTGGTGCTGTATTCGAGGGTTTGAAGCATTTCTGTACAAGTAGGTGGGATGATGCTCTGCGTGTCCGCCTTGTTCCATTGCATGTAGTGGGGAGATGATGGAACGTATGCGTGGCTTTGCATCCAACCCAAGTGAAAAGTGTAACATCTCGTTATGTTACCATACTGATCTATTGCTTGTAGTCCGGCATCACATTGGTAAACATTGACAGATCAAGAAGAATTCTACCGCAGTAGGCAATATTTAGAAATTTCAAGTGTAATTTAGCATACTGTACTGTATCCCTGTTTATTACATGAACTGGAATGATCGGGTAAGATCTACTTTTGGTTCCCAAAATATGTCTGCTTATCTGGTGCATACCATTTGAACCTACATTTTCTATCTAGTACTTCCTCTGTCCCAAAATATAAGAACGTTTTTCATACTAGTGTATTATGAAAAACGTTCTTATATTTTGGGACGGAGGTGTTTAAGTGAAAGATCAACTTGTATTGATTGATAGAACTAGTACAGCTTATATATGTTTGGAAAACACGCATCGCACAAGATGCGATGGTTGGAACCGATGCAACGGTTAGAGCATCTTCAGCCGTTGGCCCCTCAGGGGGCGCCTAAAATCGCCGCCTGGGGGCGAGGTGGCGCAAAAAAGGGTCCGAGGGCGAGTTGTGTTGGAAATATGCCCTAGAGGCAATAATAAATTGGTTATTATTATATTATATTTCATTGTTTATGATAATCGTTTATTATCCATGCTAGAATTGTATTGATAGGAAACTCAGATACATGTGTGGATACATAGACAACACCATGTCCCTAGTAAGCCTCTAGTTGACTAGCTCGTTGATCAATAGATGGTTACGGTTTCCTGACCATGGACATTGGATGTCGTTGATAACGGGATCACATCATTAGGAGAATGATGTGATGGACAAGACCCAATCCTAAGCCTAGCACAAGATCGTGTAGTTTGTATGCTAAAGCTTTTCTAATGTCAAGTATCATTTCCTTAGACCATGAGATTGTGCAACTCCCGGATACCGTAGGAGTACTTTGGGTGTGCCAAACGTCACAACGTAACTGGGTGGCTATAAAGGTACACTACAGGTATCTCCGAAAGTGTCTGTTGGGTTGACACGAATCGAGACTGGGATTTGTCACTCCGTGTAAACGGAGAGGTATCTCTGGGCCCACTCGGTAGGACATCATCATAATGTGTACAATGTGACCAAGGAGTTGATCACGGGATGATGTGTTACGGAACGAGTAAAGAGACTTGCCGGTAACGAGATTGAACAAGGTATCGGGATACCGACGATCGAATCTCGGGCAAGTATCGTACCGCTAGACAAAGGGAATTGTATACGGGATTGATTAAATCCTTGACATCGTGGTTCATCCGATGAGATCATCGTGGAGCATGTGGGAGCCAACATGGGTATCCAGATCCCGCTGTTGGTTATTGACCGGAGAGTTGTCTCGGCCATGTCTGCATGACTCCCGAACCCGTAGAGTCTACACACTTAAGGTTCGATGACGCTAGGGTTATAGGGAAAGTATGTACGCGGTTACCGAATGTTGTTCGGAGTCCCGGATGAGATCCCGGACGTCACGAGGAGTTTCGGAATGGTCCGGAGGTAAAGATTGATATATAGGAAGTATTGTTTTGGCCACCGGAAGTGTTCCGGGCATCACCGATAGTGTACCGGGACCACTGGAGGGGTTCAGGGGTCCACCAGGTGGGGCCACCAGCCCCGGAGGCCTACATGGGCCAATAGTGGGAAGGGACCAGCCCCTAGGTGGGCTGGGGCGCCTCCCACTAAGGCCCAAGGCGCCTCCAAGAGGGGAGGGGGCAAACCCTAGGGCAGATGGGCCCTAAGGCCCACCTCAGGTGCGCCTCCCCCTCTCCCCCTTGTGGCCGCCACCCCAGATGGGGATCTAGGGCTTCCGCCACCCCTAGGGAGGAAACCCTAGGTGGGGGCGCAGCCCTCCCTCTCCCCCTATATATAGTGGAGGCAAAGGGGTAGCCCAACACATGAAGTTCCTGCTCTGTTGGCGCAGCCCTACCCCTCTCCCTCCTCGTCTCTCGTAGTGCTTGGCGAAGCCCTGCTGGAGTCCCGCGCTCCTCCACCACCACCACGCCGTCGTGCTGCTGCTGGATGGAGTCTTCCCCAATCTCTCCTTCTCCCTTTGCTGGATCAAGGCATAGGAAACGTCACCGGGCTGCACATGTGTTGAACGCGGAGGTGCCGTCCGTTCGGCACTAGGATCATCGGTGATTTGGATCACAACGAGTACGACTCCATCAACCCCGTTCACTTGAACGCTGCCGCTTAGCGATCTACAAGGGTATGTAGATGCACTCTTCTTCCCCTCGTTGCTAGATTACTCCATAGATTGATCTTGGTGATGCGTGGAAAATTTTGAATTTCTGCTACGATCCCCAACGGTGGCATCATGAGCTAGGTCTATGCGTAGTTTCTATGCACGAGTATAACACAAAGTAGTTGTGGGCGTGGATATTGTCAATTTGCTTGCCGTTACTAGTCTTATCTTGATTCGGCGGCATCGTGGGATGAAGTAGCCCGGACCGACCTTACATGTACTCTTACGTGAGACTGGTTCCACCGACTGACATGCACTAGTTGCATAAGGTGGCTAGCGGGTGTCTGTCTCTCCCACTTTAGTCGGATCGGATTCGATGAAAAGGGTCCTTATGAAGGGTAAATGGAAATTGGCATATCACGTTGTGGTTTTCGCGTAGGTAAGAAACGTTCTTGCTAGAAACCTATAGCAACCACGTAAAAACTTGCAACAACAATTAGAGGACGTCTAACTTGTTTTTGCAGCATATGCCTTGTGATGTGATATGGCTAAAAGGATGTGATGAATGATATATGTGATGTATGAGATTGATCATGTTCTTGTAATAGGAATCACGACTTGCATGTCGATGAGTATGACAACCGGCAGGAGCCATAGGAGTTGTCTTTATTTATTTATGACCTGCGTGTCAACATAAACGTCATGTAATTACTTTACTTTATTGCTAAAGCGTTAGCCATAGTAGTAGAAGTAATAGATGACGAGACAACTCCAAGAAGACACGATGATGGAGATCATGGTGTCATGCCGGTGACAACGATGATCATGGAGCCCCGAAGATGGAGATCAAAAGGAGCAAAATGATATTGGCCATATCATGTCACTATTTGATTGCATGTGATGTTTATCATGTTTTACATCTTATTTGCTTAGAACGACGGTAGCTTAAATAAGATGATCCCTCGCAATAATTTCAAGAAAGTGTTCCCCCTAACTGTGCACCGTTGTGAAGGTTCTTCGTTTCGAAGCACCACGTGATGATCGGGTGTGATAGATTCTAACGTTCGAATACAATGGGTGTAAGCCAGATTTACACACGCAATACACTTAGGTTGACTTGATGAGCCTAGCATGTACAGACATGGCCTCGGAACACGGAAGACCGAAAGGTCGAACATGAGTCGTATAGAAGATACGATCAACATGAGATGTTCACCATTGATGACTAGTCCGTCTCACGTGATGACCGGACACGGCCTAGTCGATTCGGATCATGTTTCACTTAGATGACTAGAGGGATGTCTATCTGAGTGGGAGTTCATTAAATAATTTGATTAGATGAACTCAATTATCATGAACATAGTCTAAATTGTCTTCGCAAATATGTTGTAGATAAATAGTTCACGTTGTAGCCCCCTGTTTCAATACGTTCCTAGAGAAAGATTAAGTTGAAAGATATTGTAAGCAATGATGCAGACTAGGTCCGTAGTCCGAGGAGTGTCCTCACTGCTACACAGAAGGCTTACGTCTTTGATGCACCGCTCGATGTGCAAACCCCTACAACGTCGTCTGTGGATGTTGTGAACACCTGACAGACACATCCTGATGACTACTTGATAGTTTAGTGCACCATACTTTACGGCTTAGAATCGGGATTCCAATGACGTTTTGAATGCCATAGAACATATGAGATGTTCCAAGAGCTGAAATTGGGATTTCAGGCTCATGCCCGTGTTGAGAGGTGTGAGACCTCTAACAAGTTCTTTTGCCAACAAGATGGAGGAGAATAGCTCAGCTAGTGAGCATGTGCTCAGAATGTCTGGGTGCTACAATCACTTAAATCAAGTGGGAGTTAAACTTCCAGATAAGATAGTGATCGATAGAGTTCTCTAGCCACTATCACTAAGCTACTAGATCTTCGTGATGAACTATGACATGCAAGGGATGGAGTTGATCCCGGAGCTGTTCGCGGTGCTTAAGACCGCAAAAGGTAGAAATCAAGAAGGAGCATCAAGTGTTGATGGTTAAACAAGACCACTGGTTTCAAGAAGGGCAAGGGCTAGAAGGGAAACTTCATGGATGGCAAATCAGTTGCCGCTCCAGTGAAGGAACCCAAGGTTGAACCCAAACCCGAGACTAAGTGCTTCTATTGTAAGGGGAACGGTCACTGGTAGCGGAATTGCCCCAAATGCATGGTAGATAAGAAGGCTGGAAACTTCAACAAAGTATATACGTGTTATTAATGTGTACCTCACTAGTACTCCTG